CCCGCCCTGATTCTCCTGCCCCGAGGGTCCTGGGAGGCCCAGGCAGGGTTCAGGGGCCTCCATGGGCCTGACTCCCCAGCGTCACGTCAAACACACAGAAACACCGCACGGTCCATTTTTACCATAATTCCTGCCACAAGAAAGTCAGAGTCATTGTAACTGCACTCTCGAAGTCACTTGGCAGCTGGTGGCACGTTTTATTTCAGACTGGCTGACAGTCTCGGCCGTCACGGTGCCAGGAGACCATGGTCTGATGCTCTGACGCCCTGCGATGACTGACGCATCATGCTGGGAGGCTCATGGGCCAACAGTTATTAGTTTAATTTTTGCAGTTTTCTTGATTGGGGACGCCCACCATTCCAGGGCGTGCTGAGCGTTTTGAGGACCTGGTTCTGCTTCTCCAGTTGTAGCACGATCTGGATCTGGCCAGCAGCAGGACGCACAGAGCAGAGGGTCACTCTGCCTGGCTCTGCGGGCGAGCGCAGGGCGGGAGGGAGGGCGTTGACATGGTGATGGAGAGTCTGAATTTCCTTTCTTTCTAAAAAACAACCTCATTGAGGTCTGAGTCCGTGCACTGAGCTTGACTGCTCTCAGCAGCTTGCTGGGTTCTGGTGAGTTTCTGCAGTCTTGCCCACCAGGAAGCTTTCCCTTAGCGGGAGCCTGCCCCACCCCCAGCCCCAGGCACAGCCGAGGGGCCTCTGTCTCTGGGGATTCGCTTTTCCTTCGTGGGCTGGGCCGGCTGCTCTCAGTCACTGTCAGACGCACCCTGTGCCGGGTGGATCAGAGCTTCACTCTCCCCTGTGGCCACGCGCTCTACCTTGGTGTGGACGCCGGATTTCCCTCAAGTTGCCCCTGGCTCTCCTCTCCGCAGAGCTGAGCCCTTGTGTGGAAGGGTCAGCTCGCTGTCCTGGGAACTCCATGTACGCTGCTAAGTTGCCTTGGAGTCCCTGGCTCCTGATGGATTCCCGGGGCCTCCCGCGTGGGCCCTGGACTCCCTGGAGGAGCCACTGGCTCCTAACTCAGTCCAGCCCAGCACAGGCTCCTCTGCGGAAGTTCCACTCCCAGGAACCCACCCTGAGATGGGGGAGCTGGTGCCTGAGGTCCCCGACCCACGTAGGGCCGGATGCGGGGGCTTAGAGTCAGCCCAGGGCCCTGTGTGGAGCATGGACACAGTCGCGGGCCTGTCTGTGCATACTGCATGCCCCACGGGCCGCTCTGACTGTCAAGGGGTGCCTGTCCTGGGTGTCCATTTAGGGGACCCGCTCAGGCCGCGTTGAAGTCACTCAGTGCTCGGGACCAGCCGTGGGCGGAGCCCCGTCTGAGCAGACGGTGGTGCGTGCGTGTGTCTGTCCGGGCAACATGCACCCTGACCGTTGCTGGACAATGTGATCAACTGCCCTGCTCTGAAACTACCTCAGCTTTGAAAATACACTTGGGACTAAAAGGCAAAATCTGGCCATTTCACAAAACGGCTCAAATCAGCCCGATACTTGTGCGGTACTGGCTCAGCAGGTGGAGAGCTGTCTGCTGACGGGGCGGGGGGACCATTAAGGGCGGCCGGGGGAGCAGCCACGGCTGACCTGTCTGCCCCGGGCAGGGCGTGGAGGGCACCGGCCTGGCCTTCATTGTCTTCACCGAGGCCATCACCAAGATGCCGCTGTCCCCGCTCTGGGCCGTCCTCTTCTTCATCATGCTCTTCTGCTTGGGGCTGTCGTCCATGTTCGGGAACATGGAGGGTGTGCTCATACCCCTGCAGGACCTCAATGTCCTCCCCAGAAAGTGGCCCAAGGAACTGCTCACAGGTAGGGGCCGGGGCCGTGTGGGCGGAGACGTGAGGACGGGCCTTGGGGGACATGACCGCGGTGCAGCTGCTGGAGGAGGGGAGCAGCCGGCCCCGAGCCAACATGGAGCCGGTGTCCTCCCTGCGTCTGCCCCGCAGGCCTCATCTGCCTGGGGACCTATCTCATCGCCTTCATCTTCACGCTGAACTCTGGCCAGTACTGGCTGTCCCTGCTGGACAGCTACGCCGGCTCCATCCCCCTGCTCATCATCGCCTTCTTCGAGATGTTCTCCGTCGTCTACGTGTACGGCGTGGACAGGTAGGAGGGAAGGCGTTGGGCTGTCTCCGAGGGGAGCATTCAGGATGGGGGAGGCAGGCCGGCCATGACACGGGCCCCAGCGTGCGTTTCCCCTCTGAGATGTTGTGCTTTGGGTGCGGGACTGGCCCTGGGGGGCGGGAGGGAGCGCAGATGGATCCCACTTGGATGCCCGTTCGGGGCGATGCAAACAGTACGCCGTCCAGCTTCCAGATGCCCCGGGACCTAAGGCACAGAGGAGCAGAGGAGCTGCGGAGTCTGGGGGCGGAGTTGGGGAGAGGCGAGGCTGGAGGACAGGGTGGGCATTTGCTGTGGGTAAAGGCTTCCCCGGGGACCCTGCCCACCCGAGGTGGGGAACTGGGTGTTCCACTCCGACACCCCGGGGCTTGGGGAGGGCCCCTCAGCCAGACAGTGGCTCAAGCAGAGGAAGGCAGACAAATGGGGCCTGGTCAGCCGCCCCCTTGGCCAAACTTTCAGGATGTCATCGGCCATCACGGACGGTGGAGCCCAGGAAGCAGCGCCCGTGTTTTGTAGGAGCTGGACTCACCGCAGCTCCAGAAATGATCCGCCAGAACCTGTTCGCATTAATTGCACGGGGCCCGCCAGGCTGGGGCCCCGACGCTGCCCCGAGAGCACACGTGTGGAAGGACACACACGTGGGACGCTCTCAGCGACACAGCTTGAGCCAGCCCGCGCGCTGTGGGGAGGCGGGGGCACACGGCAGGCCTGCTCTGCGGGGCGTCAGAGGACGCCGGGCAAGGTGCTTAGACTGAAACGTGCAGACGTTGCCGCGCCTGAGACGCTGGTCGTGGTGCAGGCGGGAAACCACCCACCTGTGAACGGCCCGAGGACACCGGCCCCGTCGCGCCGCGGGTCGCTGCTCAGGGAGGACCGCCCCAGGCAGGAGAGCTCGGTCGGCCCGGGCACAGGGCCTGGGCGTCTGGCCGTCTCCAGCGCGTCCTCTGGGTTCTCCGGGCCCCGGACAGCTCACGTCCTGCTGGCTCCGTTCTGACTCCTGCAGACGGCAGACTTACTTGTGCAGCAGGGAGCTGGGCATAGGCGGGCGGAGAGGGTGCGGCTGCCCACATTCAGGGCCGCCATCCTGCCCAGGAGGCTGACACTGGAGCTTGGGAGGCCTCTCTTCTCCGTCCCCTGAAGTTTTGACCCTACTGGCATAAGTGCCTGCAGGGGCCTGAGGAGGACGAGGCCTCTGACCAGAGTCCACAAGTCCAGCTGGGCAGTGGCACTGCAGGGCGGCGGGAGGTCCTGGAGGCTCCGAATCGGCTCCTGCTGCACTGACGGGGGTCTGCCCAGGGGAGATGCGTCTTTGCTCAGAAGGGTGTCATGGAGGACGGGTCAGGGTATGGCATCACAGGATGGTGACCGTTTGTGCAGGCATGGAGGGGCTGCCGGCCCTCTGCCCTCTCAGGGTTAAGGGCTCATCCACGTCCCCTGGTGACGGCTCCCTTCGGCCTCCGTTCCAGGTTCAACAGGGACATCGAGTTCATGATTGGCCACAAGCCCAACCTCTTCTGGCAAGTCATGTGGAGAGTGGTCAGCCCCCTGCTCATGCTGGTCATCTTTCTGTTCTTCCTCGTGATCGAGGTCAACGAGGATCTGATATACAGCGTCTGGGACCCTGCCTACGTGAGTCCGGGGCCTCCAGGTGGCGGCAGGGCCTGGGTCTGCCTCCCCTCCCCCTGAGGCCAGGAGGGTCACGGGGGCCTTCGCTCACCCCATGGTGGCTCTCTCTCCAGGAGGAGTTTCCGAAGTCCAAGAAGGTCAAGTACCCGCCCTGGGTGTACGCGGTGGTGGTCCTCGTGGCCGGGGTGCCCTGTCTTATCATCCCTGGCTTCGCAGTCTACAAGCTCATCAGGAACCGCTGCCGGAGGCGGGGGGACCGCCAGGGGCTGGTCAGCGCACCATCCTCAGCCTCTGTGAACGGGGACCTGAGGTCCTGAGCAGCCCAGCCCACGGCCTGCAGGCGCTGGGGTCGGAGGAGGGGCTGGGCCACACGCATGTGTGCCGTGTGTGAGCGAGTGTGTGCACATTGCGAGCATGTGACATGGGCACAAGCGTATGCCCAGAGATGTATGTGTGCATGTGTGTGTGTACAGTGCAAGTGTACAAGTGTGGTGTGTACGCCATGTGTGGGTGTGTGGGCCTGTGTATGTATGTGTGCAGTGTGGGTGTACGTAAGTGTGTGTGCATTAAAAGGGACAGGAGAGATCCTCCTGGTAGGGGTGCACATACGTGTGAGTGGGTAGGCACATGTATGTGTGTGTGTGCATGTGTGTGAGCACAGATATACGTGTGCTGATGCATGAGTGTATCCGCATGTGAGTGTTTGTGCTGTGCACACGAGTATACGTGTGTATGTGCATGTGTGCAAAGCTGTGTGTGCATGCAGACTCTGTGAGGTCCTGCCCTGCCCCACACACGCTCAGAGGAAGAGCAGAGCGACACTGGTGGGGGAGTCGGCCCCTTTGGGACGAGTCTCTGGCCCCCGCCTCTTCCCCTTGCTGTCACCTCCCGACCCAGGGCCCCCGTGGTGTGGTCGGGGCTTCTCCCCCGGGTCCAGGAGCATCTTTCGCGAGCCCCATCTGGAAGAGGCTGATGAACTTGAGAGAAGCTGGTGAAATCCTGCTGGCCTGCCTGTCCGCTGGCCAGTGAAGAGGTCCCGTGTCCGGGCCACATTCTGGCGTGCTGAATGCTGACCCACTTAATCAAAGTTTCTGGCTGCCACAGATAGATGAACAGTTAAATAAAACTCAACTCGGGTAATTTAAGGCAGAAACCCCCCTTTGCATTTTTTAAGAGAACATTAACTGTGTAAATATTTAGCCAGTTGTTGGAAAGGGCGGGTTACAGGGTAACTCGGCCCTGGCCACCGAGGTTGCGGACAGCTCGTGTGTCCCAGCAGTCAGGGACCGTGAGGGCCCGGAGACCACTCGTCTGGTGCCGCGCTGGCTCCTCCCTCCCATCAAGGGAGGGATGTGACATCCAATCTCAGCCCACGCTGCATGGGGCAGGGGTGTCTGTTCCACGTGGTCCCCTCCACTGTCCATCAAAAGTCTGGAAGTTTAAGTTAAACTGGACCTTGTGAGAGTTCTCAGGGAGGGGACCCATGTGGAGGGCGGGTGCAGCGCCACGTTCCTGCACTCAGAGACTTCCCAGTGTCCCGTGGGGTCCCACCTCCTCTGCTCCCCCGGGGCATCCTGGCCCTCCCTTGGGGAAACTCTGGTCAGGACCCCATGCATACACCCCCCCAGCTGGGCGCGTGGAGGGGAGTCACGCTCGTGGGCGCCCCGGTGGGGCTGGCGGTCTCCTCACTCGGTGAGGGCTACTTTCACAGACTCGGTGTTCGGCAGACTGTGAGAAATGTGGGTTTTGTGGGTGCTGGTGTCTAAATAAATCACTCCTTTTCATATTCTTAGCCTAAACGTTGTCTAAGTGCAGAGGACAGCCGACGGCCGTGCCCAGTCCTGAAGGGCCGGCGCAGGACTGTGGCTTTGCTGCGTCCCCAGGTGCGCCTCCCCCGTGCCCGAGGGCCCATGATGTGCGGAGGGGTTGGGCCTTGGCCTCAGGAGGTAGGGGCTGCTGGTGAGGTCCCTGGGTGGGGAGGCAGGGGACGAGAGCAGGAAAGGACAGGGGGAAAGGCCTGTGCAGGTGACCTGGGGCCACTCTCCCCTCCCCCGAGCACCTCCTCCCCTCCTGTTCCCTCTTCTCCGATTCTCCCTTTTCTTACTTCCCTCTCACCCAAAAAGGAATCGTTTAAAAACGTGTCCCCTGGGGCTGCGCTCCAGGACCCGCACGTCTGGAACTGTGCAGCCCGGTTGTGAGATGCAGCATCCGGGTGTGATACTGTGGGTGCAGGGCCGGGTCGTCCTCATGGAAGCGTCTGCTGGGTGGGGGGCCCGCGTGTCCAGGGAGCCCCAGGGGGAGGCCAGCTCATCACCCCTCCAGCCAAAAGGAGGTGCTCCTAGCAGAGCTGGGGGGACTCGTGTGTCCCTCAGTCCGGCTGAGACCTCCACTGTGTGCTGTCACCACCCCCCACAGGGGGCCCTCAGGGGTACAAGCGCCCTCCCCTCTACCCGCCCCCTCCGAGGCTCCCGGTGGGCTCACGCCCGGCGTGGGTTCCTGGGCCCTGGGCTGCCGTTGGACGCAGAGGTGAGGGCTGCGTCTCCTGAAACTGGCCTGGGCGTCCCCAGAAGAGGACTACCTGGAACCAGATGGAAAGTTCACATTCAGACAGTCTGAGAAGGTTGGAAAGCTCTTAGGAAAACAAATGTGGCTTAAAAATGAACGTGGCACCGGCCCGGCAGTCACCCCCGGGCATTCACCCGCCACCCACACCCTCCACATGCAGATGGCCAGCCCCGCTCACTCCCCGCGGCCCCTCCTTGTCCCTGAGCGGCAGGCATGGCGCACCACTGGGGGCTACAAGGGGCGGCTGGTTCCCACCCCGACCCTCCGGAGACTGCGGCCAACCCCCGGGTCACATGTGTGAGTCTGCTTATAAAATGATCTGGAGATGACAAATCGCAGCTTCAGAGAGCAGAGGGAGGCCGCCGGAGCTGTGGCCATACCAGGACAGAAGGACCCCTGGTGACGGACGAGTCCTCAACCGACGTGTCGGCTGTGACGTTGCTGGGGTGTCTGCAGGGCGTCGCTGCCGGGGCTGGGCGCTTGGGCACTTGGAACCATTTCTACAGCCACGTGTTATCTCCCTGTCAAAAGGGTAATTAAAAAATAAGCAATTTTATGCAGACAACTACGTGTGCCCAGTCCCGGGGTCCTCGGGGTTCTCGTGTTGGTGGTGACCCCAGCCCGCAGGCTGTCTGCTCCGGGCACGAAGTGGGACGGGCTCACGGGTGCGGGTCAGGGAGGCGCTGCGGCCGTTACCGTGTTACCGATTAACTGGCCCCGTGGGCGTCCCTTTAAATGATGAGAATCATATCTGTGGGGGGACCGCACTCAGCTTCCAAAGCCCAGCAGAGGCCGGGCGGGCGGCGGGAGTGTGTGGCGGGCATGGCATGTGCCACGGGGCCGGACCCGCCCGGGGACAGCAGTGGGGACGGTGGCGGGGACGAGCGGCCCGCGTGGGGCAACAGGCTGCAGTACCTGCTGAGCTGCGTGGGCTTTGCCGTGGGCCTGGGCAACCTCTGGAGGTTCCCGTACCTGTGCCAGACCTACGGGGGAGGTGAGCCTGCGCCGTCCCGTCCTCGCCCTCTGCGCCCACCCTGTCCTTGTCCCAGGCGGCAGTGCGGGCTGCTCCTCGGGGGGTCGGGGACGCAGACTGGCCAGGGGTGGGGGATTGCCCCCTGAGACCCAGGCGGCAGCACCCAGCCTGAGGGATGGGGGGACCCCCACATGCACTGCGGCTTCGGGTCTGCTGGGCTCCTCCCCAGGCTGCACGTCCTAGTGCCCGGCCCCGTCGCGGTAGCCACGCCGTTGCCAACAAACACCCCTGGACAGCGAGCCCGCCAGGGGGCTGTGGCTGCACAGGGAAGGTCAGGGTCATTTCGGGGAGCCCAGCCTCCTCCCCTGGCCTAGAAGCCCACGAGTTAGTGCAGGCGCAGCTCTGCCTGGAGCTGCTCTCACTCAGCAGCCTGTCGCTCCTGGTGGCACGCTCGCTCCTGGGGACACGGGGCCGCAGGCCTGCCGGGCCGCTGTGCTCGGGAGCTGAGATTTTGCCCCCAGATGCTGTGGGCAGGGGCTTTCCAGGCAGGCTCGTCCTCCCCTGCGGTCTGAGCTCGGGGCCCCTTCTAACCCGCACAAGGCCTGCAGGCCCCCAGCGCGCCGGCTGACTCTCCTGGCTGAGTCGGGTCGCTGCCAGAAATTCGGGCAGTGTCTCCTTCAGGGGCAGTGGCGCTGGCCTCTCGCCCAGGAGACGGCAAGGGCTGAGTGGGGACGATGTCTCACGCTGTGCCTTTGGTCGGGGGTCATCCTTCCCCGTTCAAGGGCAGACGGCCCTCCTCAGGAGACGGGTGGGCGGCGGGTGGGGTGGGGTTAGCGCTCCGGGCTGACCGCACACAAGCCCTGTCCCCCATGCGTCCTGGTTGTGAGGACAGCGCTTCACTGACATCTTCTTTCCTTCTGATTATAAGAAGATACGGGCCAGTGGGAGAGTTTGAAAATGCATACAAACCAGCGGAGTTGCTGCCCATAGCGGCCGCTCCAGGGGCGTCAGAGCCCAGGCGGGCTTGGGGCAGGGCGGGCGCCTGGGCCCCGGCTCTCCGGGTCGGCCCTCCGGGAAGGCCCCTGGACAGCACAGAAGCACAGGCGGCCGGCGCGGGGGCTCCGGGGGCGCTCTGTGCCCATGCCTCAGGACGGGGCCTCGGCCACGCCCCGCACACTTGTTCCACCGTCTGCGTTTCGATAACCGTCACGTTACCCGCCACTCAGACCTGCGGGAGCCCGAGAGCCCGGAACTCGCTTTTGGATCCTTGTCCTTACGGCTGGAGGCGGTCCACCCACCCCAAGGTCCAGATGGTGAGGCCACCAGGGTGACTGGGCCCTGTACCCAGAGCAGCCCCGTCACCTCCCGTGCCCGGGGGCTTTGAAACACCTCTGTAGGTTCTGTTTCCAGATGTGGAAGGTCTCGGTCAAATGCCGTGAAATATTTGTGTCTTTAACTCGCCTACCGTGAGAGGCCCCTTTCTGTCCGCTCTGACCACCTCCGATGACTTTGAAGACGAGACGGAGGCGGTCGGCAGGTGGTGCATCACACTGATTTGCACAAACTCACCACTGATGGTCCACGTCTCCCTCCCTTCACGGTTATCCCAGTTTGTGAGTGGAAGGCAGCACCGCGAAGGGTTTGGCAGAATGTTTAGGCAGAAGTGCTCGGGATTCCGTCACACAGACGCCCTTGGGGCGGGCTGCTTTACGATGCACGCAGGGCCTTCGGTTCAGAGGGTGGGAGCAGCCCGGGGCCGGTGTGTTCAGGTGCTGACCGCAGGGCCTGCGGCGTGCTGTGGTGGGGGACTCGCCCAGGAAGCCATGCAGGCGGGTCACTTGTCGGAGGCTGCGATTTCCATGCCGCTCCTTCACGGTCAGTGTCCCCGGGGGGCTGAGGACGCGGCGCAGCGTGAAGCACCCGCAGTTTTAGAACAAGTCCTGGCGTCCAGCAGAGCCGGTCCTCGTGGCCTGTTCTTCCTCTCAGCGTGGTCCGCACTTCCCCGTGTGAACTGAAGACTGGGTGGCACCCGCACGGCGATGACTGTCTTCGTCGATTTGGGAAGCGCGAGCCCCGAGGTTGTGAGTCACCCTCCACGGGACAGTCCACCCTCGTTCCTGTCCTCGCGTGGCTCTCTCAGATCCTGGGGCGGTTTCTCAGCGCCCCAGGCTCTCGCTGTGCTGGCCAGAAGCTCCTTTTTCTCCATGACCCTTTCTTCATGGATTGAACTGGGGTGTTGCGTCCGGCCCCCCTCCTGCTGGGAGGGCGCAGGGTTCGCCCAGAGCCTCCAGGCCGGGCCCGCGGCCAGCCGTCCACAGCGACCTCCTTGGACGAGTTGGATGCGTGCGTCTGCCTGCTCTGTGGTGTTCCTTCTGCTCTCAGGGCCGTGACACCGACGTGCCAGGGTCTCCCCGCACCAGCCAGCTCTCCGGTTCTCGGCGGGCGTGCCTGGGGGTCCTGGGGTCTAGCCCAATCCTGACACTCCCCGAATTTAGCACAGACCCCACAGGTGAGGGGCTCGCCCCACAAGGCTGCCCCCCAGGTGCCAATCTCAAGTAGCGGGTCCTCAGGGCATCACTTCTGTCCAACTTGGCTACAAATTTCGGGGGTCCCACAACCCCCACCTCAGTTTCAATAATTTGCAAGAACTGCTCACAGAACCCAGGAAACCACTTTACTTACTTACAGGTTTATTACAGAGGATACACTCAGGAACAGCCGAATGGAAGAGACTGAAGGGTGGGGACCAGGGATGGCACGGAGCCCCCGCCAGGGCCGGGGCTGCCGCCTCCCTGTGCCTCCATGGGCCACCCGCCCAGAAGCTCCACTGCACAGGCATTCCTGATTAAGTCACTCGACCGCTTGGTGATTAACTCAGGCTCCCTGGCGGTAGAGGGTGGGCTGAGTTCCAATCACGTGGCAGTTCCTCCGGCCACCAGCCCCCAGAGTCACCTCATTAGCATAAACCCAGTTCAGGTGAAAGAGGCTTGTTATGAATGACAGAGGTTCTCCTGTCACCCACCACCCAAGGAATCCCAGGGGTTTTAGGAGCTGTGAGCCAGGACAGGGCGAAGACCACATGGGTATTTCTTGCTTCATCAGAACGTCACGAGTGCTCGTGAACCCCTGCTCTGAGCTGCCCTGACGGGCTGCACTCGGAGGTGCACGGACCTTCCTACCCCGTGGGCGATGCTCCTCCTTCCTCCTTGTCCTGCAGAAACGCCTTTATGGTGTGACGTCCACTCAGGGAAGCAGGTGCCCACACTGGAGGGGACAGTCCTCTGAGCCCCCCCTCAACAGCCCAGTGTCCACACGGCTGTCCTGTTGGGCTAACACGTAACCGGCACTTGGGGTGGACGCTCCTCCCCAAGGCTTCAGTCTTGTGATCACAGAAATGCCTCTCATCCTTTTCTCCCCAGACATGGTGATCCAGTCACAGGAGAACCCCCTCCCCACCCCGAGATCTTTCCCCTGGGTGGTCCCTGCCATACGGACCTCAGCCAGCCCCTCTGGCCCCGGCCTGAGACCCGTCCGCCTGGGGCCTTCCCCTCAGAGCAGGGGTCACGGGGCCAAGGGACAGTCAGCGCGGAGGCTGCAGCCTTTTCAGACACTGGATCAAATGCTGGACTCAGGCCCTGCCTGAAGGCTGGCCGGGCGCGCACTTACAAGGCCCGTGTGGGCATCTCATGTCTGTCCGCGCCACGCTGCAGGTGTGCGCCCTGAGGCCCGAGGGCGGCTGGGAGATCACAAGGCCCCACAGTGTAGGACGGAGGTGGGTGGGAAGGAAGAGGGCAGGCTGGAGAGGGCTCCTCCCTCTGGGCCTTGGACCCCAGGCCTGTGGCCGACCCCCTCCCCAGGGGCTCCCACTCCTCCAGCTCCAAGCCCAGCCCACAGGTGTCCCGCCTTCCCTGGGTGGCTGTCCCTGGGTGTCCAGCATGTCCATCGAAGTTGAGACCCTCCAGAATTCAAGTTTGTCCTTTAAGATGGCTTTGCTTTTCTGCTGCTGTATAAGAGACACCCACGAGCACATGTGCCCCAGACACTGGCCCTGGAGCCCTGTGCAGAGGCCGACCTGGGCCAAGGGCCCAAGGCCACCTGCTTTCTCCAGGGCCCCGACTCAATGTCAGGAAAGCCAGCAGGAGGATGTGCTGGCGAAATCCCAGGGGCCTGGGGCTTGTGGAAACAGCCCTTAGAGAGAGCCAAGCATCCCATGGACAGCACAGGAGAGATGGCGCCTGCTTCAGCCGCTGTCCTCGGTCAAGGGGCCTAGAAGTCTGCTCCCTGGTGTCGCCGGACGTGGGTGTAGGTTGGGAACAGCTGCCGGGCCTGGAGCACCTAAGTGCCCACACGCCTTGGCCTGAAGCACGTGGACTGAGGGTGCCTGGAGGGCAGGACTTCCATTTCCAATTGCAGCGTGGACCCTGGGGACGGACGGAGACGCCAACACCGCCAGCTCCACTCTGGGGGCTGAGCTCCCTTCCCGACAGTGCGGGAACCAGCCTCTGCCCAGCAGGCCTCCCAGGTCGCGGCCCGGGCTCTGTGGGCTCGAGGAGGCCAGGTCCTGCCACCTCCCAGCACCTGCTCCATCCACACTGGCTTGCGGTGCAGAAAGGCAGCCGCTGTCTCTGCCTGCCCTTCCATTGGATTCCCTCCATCGGTCAGCGCATGCTCCCTCCTGGGGACTGCAACGCCCTCACCCACTACGGCCGTGTCCACACCCAGCGTCCCACTGGGTGAAGGGGTGGAGAGACGGCTCCCTGCCCCAACTTGGGGAGACGTTTGAGAGGCTGTCTGCTTCCTGCAAGTCTCCACCATGAACAGACCAGCTCCCCGTCCCAGGAGCACCAGGACCAGGGGTCCCGGGGTCTCAGTGAGAACCACACCGCCTGTCTGTGGATGAAAGTTGCCACCAAAGCACTGGAGGTGGGAGCCGCCAAGTCACCTAAAACAACGGAAAACCGGGTGCCCCGACATTGGGGTCACATCTCCCCGTCTCTGGCAGCCACGGGTGCTTCTCCCCAGCCCCGGCCCCGTCCTCCAGCCTGAGGCCGGCCGGGGCAGAGGGTGTCACCCGCTGACCACCGTGTCTCTGCAGGGGCCTTCCTCATCCCCTACCTCATTGCCCTGGTCTTCGAGGGCATCCCGCTCTTCCACATCGAGCTCGCCATCGGCCAGCGCCTGCGCAGGGGCAGCATCGGGGTGTGGATGGCCATCTCGCCCTACCTGGGCGGAGTAGGTACGCGCCTCCCTCTGGCCCCACCCGCAGCTCCTGGGGGTGGGGCTGCATTTACGTGTGACATGTGCACTTGCCACGACGGTGCACCTCCTGTGGTTTAGAGCCCGCAGACGCAGGAGGAGCCTGGATGGACAGGCGCATGGGCCCCGGGGGTGGGGAGACTTGGGAGCAGGGCGCTGCCGCTGAGCTCAGGGCACAGGAGGCAGAGGCAGTGGGCTGTGCCGAATTGCCCAGCCCGTCCCCCTGCGGTGCTGAGCCCACGTGTCCTGGGAGGTCATGGCAGGGGGACAGAGGGCAGACCCCACTCCCCACGTGCCCTTGAGGTGGGAGCTGCTGTAAGGGGGTCTGAGTGTCACCGTCCAGGCCTGTCACACACCCAGGTGGCTGCAGGCCATCTGATAACCCCGGAAACAGCCTAGATGGCTGGTGCAGAGGCCAGCTCTGGCCCGGCTGTGGCCTGGCTGAGACCTGGCTGAAAAGGCACCGCATGGCCAGGGAAATGATGGGTCGCTGGTGGAGGGGTGCGGCCAGATGTAGACCAGTGGGTGGGCAGCGGGAGCCCCTTGCGGTGAGCGTGAGGACGGTGCTTCCCTGGGAGGGAAGCGCTGACTGTGGCGGGCCTGCAGGGCTGGGCTGCCTCATCGTGTCCTTCCTGGTCAGCCTGTACTACAACACCATCCTGACGTGGGTGCTCTGGTACCTCCTCAACTCCTTCCAGCACCCGCTGCCCTGGAGCGCCTGCCCACTGGACCTCAACCGCACAGGTACACTCCCGGGCAGGGCGACGGGGCCTCGTCACCGTTTGCTGTCCGTTCACTCACTATGGGACCCAGGGCCCCAGTCACTCCATTCTTTCACAGAGCGGCACCTGGGGCCTCGCAGCCGTCGTGTGCCTGGTGACCAGAGGGTGAGGGACAGGGTGGCTGCTCTCCCTGAATTAAGACTTCCAGTGGCAACCCCAGCCAAGGGCTCCATCTGGGGGGACCTCCCAGACGTGGGACACAGTCCAGGTTTTCAATTTGCCCCTGAAGCCAGCTTGACCTCTTTCCCTCCCTGTGTCTGGCTGACACAAGCTTGGTTGGCACGTGCTGGAGGAGGCCAGCCCTGGGGGCCTGGGCGGTGGGCGCCATCCCCATGCCAGCCCTGCAGGCCAGAGCTGGGTGCTCGGGGCAGCGAAGGCACGGAGGGCATCACCAGGGTGGCCAGCCTCCCTGCCGCTCACTCGGGTGCTGTGGGGCCTGTCCGGGTGCCCAGGACAGGCCGTCTGTGGCCTGTGGCCAGCTCGTGACGGCCCCCCGTCCCAGGGTTGGTGGAGGAGTGCTGGGACAGCAGCGCCGTGAGCTACTTCTGGTACCGGCAGACGCTGAACATCACGGCCGACATCAGTGACAGCGGCTCCGTCCAGTGGCAGCTGCTGGTCTGCTTGGCGGCCTCCTGGGCAGTCCTGTACCTGTGTGTCATCAGAGGCATCGAGACCACCGGGAAGGTGAGAGCCTGCCGGGCAGACCCCGCACCGCAGGTCCCTCCAGCTCCAGGGGACGCCTCTCCGTTTGGGTCCTCCTTGGCCTCAGGAATTTAGAGGCTCAGCCAGGAGGGGCGTGGACTTCGGGGCTGCCGGGTCTCCCTGAGAACTGATGCCGTTGTCCCTGGGAGGTGAGCCTCCGCGTCCTGGTGACAGTCGGCTCGCGAGCCCACAGGGCGTTGAAGCTGCTGTGCCAGCCTCCTCTGACTAGGTCAACCTGGTGCAGCTTTTCCCACTGCATTTCTGTGAAGTTTCTTGGATCTCTGTGGTTACTGCGGTTTTGTGGACAGTGTGTGGTTGCGTCTTGCGTCTTCGCTCCGTGTGACCGTCCTCGCCTTTTGCCGGGGGTGTTTAGACCATTTACGTGCAATGTGCTGACCGGTCAGGGTGGGGTTAGCCTGCCGTCACGGGCTTGACTTCTGCCTGTCCCCTCTGTTCTCCGCTCCTGTCCCGCTCTTTTCCTGAGCACTCTTTTGACCCCACGCTGTGTCCTTTGCTTGCTAGCTGGGACTCTGTTACCCGGGTGGCTGAGTTGGGGGCAGAGCATCACGGTCGTCCCCCCGTGAGGCTGCGCCACTCACCACGCAGAGGCCGCTCTCGGCATCACAGCCCCACCCCCACCCGGTGTCCGTGCTGTTGACGTGCATTTTGCTCACGTGTGACAAACAGCAAGTGCTTTCTTAGCATTTTTGTTTTAAGCAGTTGATTATCTTTTAAAGAGACTTGGATGATAAGAAAGAACACATTGCCAGTTACGTGGCTTCCAGCAGAAGGCACCAGAGGAGTCTGCGCGTGCAGCTCCCAGCGGGCTTCTCGGGGCTCCCCACCCTCTCTCTCTGGGCTTGGATACGTCCAGTGTCTTGTGTGTCAGTCCTTTAAGTGACTGGGACGAAGTTCCATGCGTTTCCAGGCCAGGCCCCCGATCTGGGGTCGTGGAGGTTTGTGGGTCCGAGTGCCCCTGTGCTTCTGCTCGGTTACCGTGGGGGCGGCGTCACTCTCACATGAGGGCTCCACGCTTGATTGCGAGGGTGGCAGTTTCTGAAGCAGCCGCAGCAAGCCGGCCAGAAACCCCAAACACTGCTGCGACGAGAGTCCCCGGAGGGGCATCGCGTCCGTCTGCCTTTGGGGCCTGGGGCAGCGAGGGGAGAGCCCCCATTTTTGCAGACACCGTGTGCGCAGACCCCTCCCCAACCCTGACAGAGCTGGGCCGGGTCCTGCCGCAGGGGAGGGGCAGGCAGGCGAGCGGCCCATGGCCCCTGCGGAGCGGCCAGCTGGGGGCCTGGGGGCGGCAGGAAAAGGCATTGGTGCCGCGAGAGCCTGACCTTGGACCAGGGGAAGCCGCCCGCCCTGGGGAGCCCACCGCCCAGCTCAGTGGACCCCACTGGGCATCGGTGCGCCTGAGCACCTCAGGGAGCCCCAAACCCTCCGAGCTTGCACAGAGCCCGCTGTCTTGGCCCCAATCCCACGGGAACGACGTCACAGTGGGTCCCGCCCGACTCTCTCGAGGTTTCACGCGGAACAGGCACACAGGAAAGTCTAACAGTTGCCCTTCTTTTAGGCAATTTATTTCACAGCCTTGTTCCCGTACCTGGTCCTGACGATCTTTCTCATCAGGGGACTCACCCTGCCCGGGGCCACCGAAGGGCTGGTCTACCTGTTCACTCCGGACGTGAGTCTTGACTCCACATTCCCCCGGGCCAGGCTCAGGGAGCACATGCGGTGGGGCCACTGCCCCGCCCAGTTCGTCCCAACCCCTGGCTGTGGGAGCAGAGACGTGGCCACAAGGAAGGTGGCTGGGGTCTCAGGGGTCGGGTTCGGAGGGGAGGGAGCAGGAGGAGGACTCGGTCTAGATTGGGGACCACTGTAAAAGAGGGGGTTCAGGGGAGAGGCCAGCTGGGGACCCAGATGTCCCACCCCTAGCAACCTGGACCCTACATCTCTGAGGGCCTCGTCCAGCAGCATGACCCGCCAGGTGGGGAGCCACAGGGCCAAGGGGCCTGCCCACTAGAGCCGGTACCCTTTCGGGACCGGTCCACAGTCTGCGGGACCCCAGGGGCTGCCCAGCCAGCCCTGCAGGCAGAGCCCCCAGGGGAAGGGAAGGGGCCAGGTGTGGCAGCCAGCGCAGGTCTGCCTGAGCCAGCAGTAGCGCCAGGCACTCTCGGCTCGGGGCCCACCCGGCTCTCAGGTCCTGGAAACCCCAGGTCTGAGAGGAACAGAGCAAACACAGTTAAGCCCCAGCCACTGAGACCGGTCTCCCACCCCGGGAGGTCTGCCCCCAGGCTCTCAGGGCCTTGAGCGGACGGGACCAGGGGTCATCACACGTCACCAACAGGTGGCTGGGGTGGCTGTGTCTGCTCCACGTATGGTCCTGGACTGTTCCTGGGGCCTGAGTGCGTGACTCAGAACTTTGGGAACGTTCTGGAACGGGAGGGACCGGGCCAGGGCGGCTTGTCTGCTGGCCACGGGCCTTCCCATCTCACTCCAGATGCAGGTCCTCCGGAACCCCCGTGTGTGGCTGGACGCCGCCACCCAGATATTCTTCTCTCTGTCCCTGGCCTTCGGAGGACACATCGCTTTTGCAAGTTACAACCCGCCAAGGTAGGGCCGGGCTGGGCGGGGATCATGCTCAGACACACAAAGCCCTTCTCTGTCGGGAAGTCCTGCCCGGGTGGAGGCGGCCAGAGGTGAGCTTCTGATAACAGGCGATTCCTGAGTCTTCCCCAAGGGCCGGGAGGCGGGGCCGCTTCCAGCTCGGTCCGAGCCAGCTGCAGGAGGAGAGCCCGGGGGGTCAAGCCCAGGAGCGAGGCCTTCCCTGTGCTCCGGCCGGTGCGTGATGCTCGTGGCCACAGGAGCAGCACCACGGCTGCGTCAGCCTCCTGGTCACGTAGACGCCAGGCCGCCGCCTCTCCTGCGGGAGCTGCAGACTTGCTCTATGAGACCAACAGGCCGAGGACCCAAGCGTGACCGTGTCACGAACCCCAGGGTGCTGGCAGGCATGCCCTTAAACCACTTCCCCGGGGTTGTCTGAGGGGGGTAGGGCAGGCGGGGGTGCAGGGGCTGGTGGCAGGGGCCTCAGGCGTGGGGGTCGGGCCCCCGGGGGCTTCAGTGCGTTTCTGCTTGGACTCCCTTGAATGGCAGCTTGTGTGTGTTTCTCGTTTGGAGACAATCCCAGTGAGACCCACAGCTGCCCCACCCTCGCCCTCAGCTCCCCGAGGCCCTGGGAGATGGGGGGCTGAGTGTGTTACACCAGCAGCACCCCGAGCTGGGGCCCCCGGGGAGGGGTTGGCAGGGCGGGGACTGAGACGTCCGAGTTCCGGGTGGAGCACAGGCAGGCCCCGGTGTAGAGAAGAGTGGGGGCGTCCAGGGTGTGGAGGTGTGATCCCTGAGTCGTCTCGAGGTTTGGAGGTGGGGTCTCTGGGCACACAGGGCCACACACGTGCATGTCCCCCAGGAACAACTGTGAGAGGGACGCGGTGGCCATCGCCCTGGTCAACAGCATGACCTCCTTGTACGCGTCCATTGCTGTCTTCTCCGTCCTGGGGTTCAAGGCTGCCAACGACCACGGGCGCTGCCTGGACGGGTGAGCACGGTGCCCTCCGGGTCTGGGGCCAGGTGTCCCCCGATCATGGCCCCACCACGGGTCCTGCTGCACTGGGGCCCACAGACGACCTTCCCCAGGGCAGCGGGTGGAGGGTCTGTCCAGAACCTGGAATAGAAACAGGTCTCTGGCAGATGAGGTCGGTCTGGGCAGGCTGAGTCCCCTGTCCAATGACTGGTGTCCTGATCGGACAGAAAGGGACACAGGCAGGATGAGAAGCCACGTGAGACAAAGCAGAGGCTGGAGGGTCGAAGCCACAGCTCACGGACGCCTGGGGCCCCGGAGGCTGGAAGAGGCAGGAACGACCCTCCCCTGGAGCCTCTGGCAGGAGCGCAGCCCTGGACACCTGGGTCTCGGACTTCCAGCCGCGGGGCTGTGGAAGGAGGAACTCCTGTTGTTTCAAGGCCCCCCGTCCGGGGGCATTTGTCACAACAGCCCCGGGAGCCGAGGCATTAGGAGGACCCCACGCTTGGAGCTGTGCGCTCGACGGCCCGGCCTGGCCTACCAGATGTGTTTTCCTGGGTAGAACCCATCACAGTGCATAAGAGTGTCCCCCGGGGTGCCGTTGACGTCCACAGTGCCCGGGACGGCCCCACGGAGTGAGCACCGTGTCACAGAGAGCCGAGATACCCGTTCTAACCGCGCTCGGCTGAGCTGCTGAGGCACGCACCTCTCACAATGTTCCAGAGAGGCTGCAGAGGCCACGCCCGGTGCACAGTGCAACCCCTGCGGGGGAGCAGGCCCCCAGCTGCCTCCACGGAGACGCCCAGCGAACAAGTCTGTTCATCCGCTGAGGCCAGGCTCCCCCCACGGCACGTACCCCTGGCCTGAACAAAGCCCCTCGGGAGTTTTCTGTGGGTGGCATCACCGCCTTCTTGCTGCATTTAGAACACTGGACAGAAATTAAACAGCAAAACCAACAAAAAGCACAGGAATTTGAGAACCGCAGCTCCAACCATGAGGCGCTCGTCTGCGGCTCCAGCTGAGACAAGGCGGAGCGTCCCGGGGCCCCCGGAGGGGACGTGCGCGATGGACAAGTCCGCAAGTGCCCTCAGATGCCGCGGGGACTGGAGTCGAGGTTACAGACACATCTAGCAGGCAGGCGAATCGGCAAACAGGGAAGCCCCCATGGTGTTTGAACCGTGAGGTCCAAGACAGTGCAGGCGTGCAGACCTGGGGCCACCACCCACAACCTGGCCTGGGGGGGCTCTCCAGTGCTGGCCGGGGGCCCAAATTCAGGGAGGCAGGAAGCGGCACAGCCCAGTGCGTACCCTCAGGGAGTGTCCCCTCCAGCCTGGGGCCCCTCTGGGGCTGGACCAGCCTTCTCTCCCTGCGAGTGCACGAGGCCAACGGGCAGCTCCCCGCTGCCGGCCCCACAGGTGTCCACTCACCAGGCCTCCCCGCCCTGCAGAAACATCCTCCGTCTCATCAACGCCTTCGATCTCCCCGACCAGAGCATCTCCAGGGACGACTACGCGGCTGTCCTCGCCCGCCTGAACACCTCCCGGCCTGAGTGGGCGGCTGGGCTCCACCTGGACACCTGCCGCTTGGAGGACTTTCTGGAAAAGGTACTCGAGGGGCCGGGTCGAGGGCACCAGGCTGCACTGGGCCGAGGACTTGCTGCACAAGGTCCCCCGGGGTCAGGAGTGCAGGACTTTAGGCTGACTCTCTGCCTCTGCTTCTCCAAGCTTCTAGAAAACCCTGTGGCCTAAACACACCATGTCTGAAGGGCCCTGCCCAGCAGGGGGTGGGGTCCAGGCTGACCCAGGAAAGCAGGCGTTGCTGGTGCACAGAGACCAGGGAGAGGGGCCAGAGCGAGGTCACAGAGCCAGGCCGTGGCTGGAGGGGCCTCATGCAGGGCCAGCTGATGCCGAGGACCGGGGACAGCAGGCTGGGTGGGCAGCCATCTGACCGGCACCTGAGCCCAGGTCCCCAGGCCCCACGTCCCCTGCTGGCTGCTGGTTATGC